ATATATATATATATATATCTGTATCCTATACATACAATATACAATCTGTATACTAGTAACTAAACAATATATATAATATATAATATATATAATATATATATATATATATATAGACGCACATGAAGCCGGCCTGTTGGTCAGTCTTTGCTCTGTCGCAAATCAAATTGCGGCATCGCAGCAAAGAAAGAAATCGCCAGGAGGTGACAAAGCCGAAGTTTTGAGTCGTGCAAAAACAAACAAAGTCAAACTTTGCCTGGCTGCGACGCATTCTTCTTTGCCTCGGCAGCCAACTCACTGTTTGTACAATCTTCTTATATATAAATATATTTATATGTATATATATATATATATTAATGTATATTGAATATATATATAATTTTGTGTATAGGTATATATTCATATGTATGTATGCTTTCAGTGTATGTATACATCTATATGTAATTTGTTTGAATATTAATATGTTTATTTCTGTTATATGCATGTATGCAACGAATTATATATAATATATATAATATATAATATATATATGTATATATTTACAAGTATTTAATACGCATACACCGGGTGTATAGATTTGGTTTTGTGTGTAGCAGAAGTCGAAGATATTTAATTGTTTGCCGCCTTTGTTTAATTGGGGTGTATATGCACTTAGCTTTTTATTTTATTTATATTTGTGTCTTCTGATTCTGCTTTGTGTTGTGCTGCAGCAGCAAAATAGCAATTAGGAGCAGCAGCAAGTGCTGCTGCTGCTGCTGAATTTTATAAACTTGTTTTTTTTAAGTTTGATTCTTCTTCTTTCTTTTGTTTCATTTGCACGCTGCAGCAACAATTACTATAGCAATAGCAGCAACAGCATTAGCAGCAGCAGCAGCAGGAAGAAGAGCAGCAATAGCAGCAGCAACAAGAACTGCAGCAGCAGCAGAAGCAATATCAATGCAATCAATGGAACAACTACAGCAACAGCACCCGCAGCAACAATGCTGTTCCTATTGCTGCTGCTGCAGCAGCAACAATAGCAGCACAAGCAGCAACAACAGCTGCTGCAGCAGCAACAATAGCAGCACAAGCAGCAGCAGCAGCAGCAACAGCAGCAAGAGTAGCAGCAAATAAGAGTTGTTTAGAGTTTAGTTGTGAGGCCTCTTCGCTCAACACCGTTCCACAGAAAAATATTATTAATCGGTTCGAACTGCTGCGTCAATATCTTTGTTGCTTCTTGTGCAGCAACAGCAGCAACAAGTGCAGCAGCAGCAGGAAATGCAGCGCCTTTATATGCAATTAGCTGCTCTACTATTTTCTTCTTTATATTTAAATTTTGCTTCAATAAACCCTCTAAATACTCTACTTCCTTCAGCACCACTTCCATGTCCCTTGCTGCTGCTGCTGCTGCTGCTGCAGCAGAACCACCCGCTGCTTCTCCACCTGCTGCTGCTGAATCACCTGCTGCTGCTGCAGCAGCAGCAGCAGCAGCAGGAGGAGCTCCAGGGAATCTGTTTAATTTGTTTGCTGCTAAACGGCAGGCGAGCACAGCAGCAAACCAGGGTATATGCATGCAGCCTGCTTCTATATAATCGTAGCTGTCTATACACTCGGCAGCATCATTTATCTGCTTTGCTGCAGCAGCAAGCAGCAGCAATGATGAGCCGCCTAAATATAAATCATCAGGAGGAGAGTAGCTGCAAACAAATACAAAAAAATTAAAAGAATTAAATTTATTAATTAATAAAATTACTTAATTTTATTTATTCTTTTTATTATTTTAATTAATTAAAACACTCAGTCAAATGCATATTCTATATACATATATATATATAGTGTATATACGTATATATATATATATATATATTATATATATTATATGTCTATATTATATATATATTATATATATATTATATATATTATATATATGCACAGATATATACAAAAAAAATAAAAAGGAGAAAAAGTAAACAGAAAAACAAAAACAAGAAATCAAAAAATCAAACAAAGACGGAGACGGAGACTAATTAATTAATTAATTAATTAATTAATTAAATTAAGTTAAATTAAATTAATAAATAAATAAATTAATTAATTAATTAATTAATTAATGAGGGTTTGTCGAACTCTATGACTTTTATTTGCGCCGCATATTCACAGAAACGTCGAACCTCCCCCGAAGAAATTACACATAAAGCCTCCTGCTGCTGCTGCTGCTGCTGCTGCTGCTGCTGCTG